CCCCAAAACCCCAAAACCCCAAAACCCCAAAAGGTCTTAAAATATGCTTAAATTTATGTTAAAATTAGGACCAATTTTACTTTTCGACTTCAACAACTTCGGCATTCCCAGCAGGATCTTGCGGGTGCTGTTCTTGGGCAAAGGTAGGATTTGAACTCTGTATCGGCAGAGTTTTCAGTGCTGAAGCTGGTAGTTTTAGAGGTGGTGAAGGTGCCGGTAGAGTTAAATTGTTACCTGGTACAGTAGAAGTATGCATATTTAGAGTGGAAGATAAGTTGTTCAAGGATTGAGACCCTGATCCTTGGAAAATAGACTCTACTAATGGGACAAAGGAAGGAGGCTTGGGGGTTGCAGAGGGAATTTGGCCTGAAGAAGGCCTTAAGAGATTATCGACAGGATTTGGAGGAAGTTTATGGATAGATTGCTTGGATATGGTTTGGGATACTGCTGTGCTAGAGGTGCTAGTTTTATCTATTTGCTTGTGATTTTGTAATTTACTCTCTTCCTCTCCTGATTTTTGATGCATTGAAGAATCAATGTCTTTATTTCCCTTACTAACCACATTTTCAGAGATATCTTTCTTTTCTAAAGTTTTTGATGTACATGTTGCCTCTTTCTGCTTGTCTATTTCTGTTATTCTTACCGTATTACAATCTTCCTGTCTTAATCTACCAGTTTCATCTCTCTCATTACTCGCAACATTCTGCACAAAGGATTGGTTTCCTTCATTACTCTGGCCAGCCTGGCCTGGGGACTCTCTCTGAACAGTTTGAAACTGGTTAGGATCCTTTTTAGCCTGTTCATCGTCCTTTTGTATCTCCAGATCTTCATACTCATCTAGGTCGATCATGACTTGTTGGGTCTTCTGGTGTTGCTCTCTCTTTCGATTGTAATCTGCAAATAGTCTAGACAAGAAATTGAAGAAGTCAGTTTGTTTGCTAGAATAAACTTTAGGGAAAATGTTCTGTAATGAGTTCTGACCTAATAGAGGCAGCACATTCAGTGAAGGAGTATTCGAGTCTAACTTATGAACAAGCATGTCAAATTTATGTTCTAGCTCTCTTTGACTTTGCTTAAGATTTTCTATGTCCTTGTACATGCTATCAAGCATGTTTCAAGTCCTCGACTTGAAAAATTCTACCTCGAGGTCTCTATTGTCAGGATCTTTGTACTCTATATGACATTTTCCTTTTGGAAGTCTCTCTTTTGGTGACTTCTTAATAGCTTGTGCTTTTTTAGGCTCCTTAGTGTTGGTAGCATTCTTGGGATTATTGGGCCTTTTAGCCTTCTTTTTCTTCTTTTCTTCAATTTTTTTGGTTTCTTCTTCTAACATTTTATGTATCTTAGGCATTAAGTGTTGAATCTGGTTAAGATCTAGCAGGCAAACCAAAGATTTGTCATCATTTATCTTACTGTATTTCTTAGCGATGTCTAAGAACTTGTCTTCAGTGTGAAGACTCGAAATAGGAATGCACTCGTGTTTTACCTTGATATGAGCATCTATTAGTAGCTGGTCTAGAAGTTGCCATCACTTGGTGCATGCACCAATGTGATCCAACTTCTCACAGTTCTTGTTGATGATAGCAAGGAATTTCAAGAATTTTTCATATTCTTGAGAATGCATTGGGATGACAGGATAGCTTGGCTGAATAACAGGTCTCCCGCCGATCTTTAGTTTATGAGTAGCTTCCATAACTATAGTGATTAATTCGGTAAATTTTTTAAATGAGTATTGCCAATTTATAAAGCTTCCTATGGGGTTTTGGGGTTTTGGGGTTTTGGGGTTTTGGGGTTTTGGGGTTTTGGGG